TGAATTTCATTTTATTGAAATATTTCTTCCATCCCTTATATTGTGGAGATCTTTTCCCCTAGTTCTTGTCACAATACACAGCTGTGGTAGTCTTCTGAAGAGAGGTGTGTATATTGTTGAGTAGCCAGGTACTTCACCAAATGATTTTGGAGAAATCGTCAGGTGCTTGCAAAGGGAATCAGGAAGAAAGAATCAGGAGAAGTGAAAGAGCAGGTAGATTCATATCCCCAAGATCAAGTTGTGCGGGTTGCTGCTGTCACAAGCACTGGAATAGTCTAGTAGAGGGCACTCCTGGAGCCAACCCTGTCTGGAGTAGGTAGGATGCTGACCATGGCCAGCTGAGCCTGCACATGACCCAGTCATTGCCATCAGACCCTGCCTTCCCTCCACTTTCTTAGCACACCAGAGTCTGAACCTTTCTTGCAATAAGAGATATGAGCAGAATTTATGGTATAGAGAATATAACACTCAAAATAGACAGCTGGGTCTGGAACAATCTCTAAAATGATGAGCTACCCAAATAAGCCAACCCAAGAGTTTCTTCTATACCCACTACAATAAAGGCTCATCTTTCTGTTCCCTCTAGTGTGAATCTCTGAGCACTACCCAGGCTTCTCCAGTGGCAGAGAGTTCTGTTCCTACGTGACACAGCTCATTTCAGCAGGGTGAGCTCTGCAGTTGGCTGTGGCCTTGACAGACCCTAGGCTTCTGATGTTGGTCGTAAGACCAGCTCCACCATGATGAGAGGACTAGTGGCAGCCTTCCTACCTGCAGGCACATCTTTGCAAAGCAAATTAGTTACAGAAATAGTCTCATAGCTTCATATTACAGTGGTACTTCTGTTCACGAATTTAATTCTTTTCTATGATTCTGGTCACAAACCAAATTAGATGAATGTAGCCAATATAGCATGTGAGCTGAATTTTGTAAGTTTCAGCTCAGCTCTCCTCCTTCAGGCTCCTTGGATTTGTTTCTTCATCTGCCCTTTGTCATATCTGGTCTTAGCCCTTGGTCAACTCTTCAAAGCTTCCCTGGACCGCCATAGAGAGTTCCCCTAGTATCTCTCTTTGGGTCCTACTGATAATTCTCCTGAACTGCTGTCAAATAGCTCTGCACCTCTGAAATCAAAATCCTCCATCTTCTCACCTCATTGTCTTTCCTTGATTTGGCTAAAAGTTTCCAAGGCTCTTGAAGTATACACATAGTAATTTTTTGGTCCTCTTCTCCTAATAAACAATATGGCATCTAAAGCCCCTCTTTACCAATTGTTTTTTTCCTCTGGTAGGTAAGATCCTACAGTGTGATAGACATACTTGGAGAGGGGGCATATGTGATGGTGCAGAAATGAAATGAATGTCTTCAGTTCTGACAAAGTAAGGGTCACTGCAGGGCCCTGTGTGTGAAGCGTGTAGCTAGGACGGATAACTGATCAGCTAAGTGACAGATTTGGCTTCTTCTCCTCCTCTTCCCAGAATCCATCTATTTCTCCAGAGGGATGCTTCCCTAGGCCTTCCTTTCAAGTCAAAAGAGAGTAAGCATGAGTTTAGGCAAGCTCCCAAGACTAGTCCTAGAGGGCTAGGACACAGGTCCCTTCTGCAAAAGAGTGTGTTGCCACAGGATGTAATAAAGGAAGACAAGAATTTCAGTAAAAAGTGTCCATCTGAGGTGAAAGTTTAGACAACATAGACCTGGGAAAAGTTTCACTGATCCCAGCTTTGTCTCTGCAGCTACCCGACCAGCGATGGAGGAAGTACGTGGAGGATGTGGGCACCTTCTTCAAGCCCACCCTGGCAACCTTGACTGTCAAGGAGGCCTTTGGCCCATGCACCTAACATGGTATATGTGAGAGCTGTCCCCGTCCAAGAACCTCTATATTTCTCGCTCTGCTCACCCTACTCTGCTTGGTAGTGTAGGTGAATGAGAGTTGGGAAAGAGAGGAAGAGATGACCCAGAGGAAATTCCCAAGGCCTCCTTTCTCCCTCAACAGGGCATAGTTCACAAACAGGGCATATGGAACACAAAGTACCCACAGCAGGCACCAATTTGGCCACATCACCTAGCTTTCTTGCTCTTGTGTTTCTTCAACAATAAAATGAGAAAATTGCATTCCATGAAGCCGAAGTCACCTCCCTCTTTATCTAATACCTGATATGACATGAACATGGCAGGACTTAATCTTGAAGTGGCTAAATCGATAACCCTAGATGTTTGCCGCCTGCCTCATGCTGGAGATTCTTGAAAGCACTTTGAAGAAACAACTTCATTTCATTTTGATTATCATCATTGTAATTCTATAGGAGACAGAATTGAAGCATAGAGAGGTTAAAGGACTTGCTTGTGTTTAGGTAACACAAAATAGCAGAGTCAGTGTTTGAACTCAGTAAGTCAGAGGCCAAAGCCCAGCTTCTGATATTGTCATTCATTTTCTTCCACGACCAAAGATAGATACAAGGTAGTAGATGGAGGGGAAGACAGGAACTGCACACCCAGACTGTGAAACTGGGGAGAATGCAACTTGTTGGGAAACCTTAGGCAGAGCAGAAGAAGAGCCCTGAGATCAAAGAAGGAAATGATGGCCCTCCTCTCCCTCTGCTCTGCAATTTGCCTGCCCCTATGTGTAAGGAATCATCAGGCTGAGATCCCTGCATGCCAATGCCTATCTTTCTGGTTGACCTTCAGTATAGCCAGTTTACCATTTCCTCCATGTTCCTGGCACAGATCCTTGGGCCCTGGAGTTGGTGAAACCCTGGGAAATAGCCATTCCTCCCGTCTTTTTTAGATTTCCCCCTTTTCTGAAAGTTCCTCCAGCCTGGTAGCTCTCAGAGCCAAAGCGCCTTTGTGGGCCAACGCCTTTCCAGCTGGTTATATGTGTGTCCTATATGAGACACTCTTCTATCTGAAGTGCCGCTAAGCTGCCCTCTCATTACATAGCAGAAACTCCTTCAGTAGTTTCCACACATTTCTGGACAATGTCTTGGACACAACGGCAGGGGAGGCTGGCCACTGCATTGCAGGTACTCGAAGGCCATGTCTGTTCTCACCAGCAAGCTAGAAACCTTATCCTATCCTCAAGTGTCCTTTCCACTATCACTTATGCAACCACAGTTGCATAACTTTCTCCCTTCATATCTCTATTGAACAGATGCCAGTGTGAGGATTCCTTCTCCTACACCATAGATCCCACACTTTCTAGGACAGCTCTAGGTCTTCTGGCAAGTGCTCTTTCCTCTGGCCTAGGCCAGTATATCAGCGCAGAGGTGATAAAGGCCAGGAAGTTGTTTGGGTGGCTGTGTAGAGAACACTGGACTTCCGAGTGACCGTGGCCATGAATCTGAAGCCTAAAGGCAGCCTCATATTCCACACAGGCATACAGCAAGAGGCTGATACAGTACATTAGGGAGACCACGCTACCCAACCAAGACCTCAGCCCCTATCAGCTCTTCTTCCAGAGCTATGCTCAGGTAGGAAGCTGCCCCCTCCTTCCACAGCTTGCTTCTTCTCAGAGAAGAACCCCGTGACTAATGCTCAAAGAACTTTCCTCCCTGATACACACTTCCCAAAGACCCTCTCAGTCATTCAACCACTGCCACAAAAGTCCGTACTGTCCTCTTTTCTCAGTTATCAGCTCAGAATAATCCTGCAGGTTATTGCTAATTAATTCTTTAACCAAATTCAAAATCTTCTCCCCATAAAAAGAACTACATCTAGTTCTTTCCTTGAGATGAGTCAATTTTCTCCTTCTATCATGCCCTAGAAATTGATATCCCTTAAAATGAGATGATAACAGGCTAACTGTACACTCCCTTCCTCAGCAAAGGGCCAGTTCCACCTTGACACAGCACACTTCTGTACCCATGCTCCCTCTGCAAGAGCAGTTCCAAATTTCCCAACGCACTTAGAGACATCCTTGAAGAATCTTCCATCAGACCCACTTCCCTCCCTCATAACTTTTTATTCTATAGCCAGGCCCTCCCCACATGCATAGGGCTATACTAAATGACCTGCAAATGGCAAATGTTCTGTGTAACCCTGGAACATTCTATTCCTATTCCTCTCTTCATTTTCCCCGCAGTGATCCCGTTTCCATGCATTCCTGGTCCTAATGACTGGTCAGCACCTGCTTCTTACTCTTCTTTGGCCTCTGTTCTTCCTCGAGTGGTGTGATGTTTAGGAAGCCCAATCCCCCAGATTTTCAGGACACTCACAACCCAGCACCACCAGGCTTCCAGTCTACCCACACAAGCAAAAACAACACAGCCTTTGGCGGGCATTTCCACTGTTCATGGGGAGCCCTTGTGAACCCTGCCAGATGCTGCCATCTGTAACTGGAAAGCCAGAGATTCCAATGCAGATGTTCAACAGCTCCCTCCCTCATCCTTTTCCCTTACAAAAATAAAAGCTGACAGTTGGCTTCTGTCATCTCTTAATGATTTACATGCTATGTTTTATGCCTAGAAGTCAGAAAAGATAAGAGAGCGAAATGCCAAGAAGGCCTCCCTGAACATGAGAATAGGTAAGATCAGGCAACTAGTGAGTTGGTGGGTCTGAAGGTCAAAGACTGTGCAATTAAACAGAGCAGTTAGAAACTCAAGGGCTTGGTTAAGTCTCAGAAAGCTGCTCCTAATTATTTTCAGATTTTTATTGCAATTTTACTGTCAATGCCTCCACCCTCCAAACTGCTATATTGGACAAAACCAGGGGAAGACTGGGAGGGAAAAGGGTGTGGATCTGAGATCTCTGGCCCTGGAATGCAGAGCTCTGGGCTTGGGTGGCATCAGGCAGAAGCCATGGCAGGAAAGCCTCCGAGGCTGCACCCTAAGGACAGGTGCCACTGGCAAGAGCAGGGAGCAGTGTGCAGGGAGGGGCATGGGTATCTCTTTGGGGAGCTGTGGTGTGGAGCCCAGTGGAGAGAGCAGGTCAGTAAGCGATCAAGAAGCGAAGGTAAAAATCCAGGTCTTCCTCCTCCAGGAGCCAGACCACTGCCTCGGCCTCAATGTCCCTCATAAAAAAGCCATGATGCTGGCCAGGTTAAAGCAGAGAGCGAAATAAAAACGGCGGTCTTGGACAGCTGCTGCCTCGGAGATGAAGTCCTCCTCTTGCTGGACCATGTCCACCACCTGCCACTTCTCACCCACCGAGGAGGCCATGAAGTGCTCTTCATACTGCTCTTGGCCCTGCTCTGGAACAGGAGAGGACAGAGAGGGCCAGGCCCGACCCTGATCTAGTCCTACCCTGACCCTGAACCAGAAGGGGAAGAAGTCGGGGTGTGGGGAGAGCCAAGGGCATTCAGCCCAATGGCCACATCCTGGGCTTTGGCCGGAATGTGATGCACTGTCTAGAGGTCGTTTCTGACCTGGGTTCCAGCACAGCCCCAGCTCAAGCAGCCCTCCTCACACACACCTCTAACACTGCCTCCTCCGCAGTGTGACCCCATCTTAAAGTGAGCGACACCATCCAATGCATCGAAAACCACAGAGGTATTACGGGCAGACATGCTTGTCCACCCACACAGAAGCTGCATGCACAGCAGCTGGCCGTGCTGTCCCCTGGTGAGGAACCCACACTCCAGACCTTTTTCAGGACACCCTGGGGTCATGCCATGATGATGGGGACCTGGCATTCTCTCCCGTAACCCAAAGCCATGGGAGATCCACTCTCACCTAAGCAACTGCTTAGGGCCTGACCTCTGACAGGTCCAGCCTTCCCTCCAGAATGGCCTCCCCTTCCCCACCTACCTTCAGGGGGCGTTTTCTCTTCTAGGTCCCTGTTCTCTGGGCCTCTGCTGCCCTTCTGAGTCTTTGCCCCCTTCATCTGCAGCAGCAGAATGGCAGCCAGGAATGCTGCCCTGTGGGGCTGCAAGCCCAGGGAAGTCCTGGGCCTGCCCACCCACCAGGGCCTCTGGCCCTAGTTCACACTACTCCAGGCTCCTGCCCTCTCAGGGTCCCAGCCCTTACCCCTGCCCAGTGTCGTTTTTGCCTCTGCTTTTCCATTAGACCTCTGACTCCATGTGCTTCATTCTGACCTTCCACAGATTTCACTCTGACCTTCATTCCAGCTCACCAGAGCATTCTATGGCTAGGCAGCCAGCAGGCCATTGCAGAAGCTTCCAGGATGGCCAGAGCACGTTATCCAGCAGTCCTGTCACAGGCACTGCTGCTTTGGATACACAGAGTCACCAACCCTCCAAAGTAATAGCCCTCTACACCCATTGTAGGGACGAGGAAATTGAGATTCACAGTACGAGTGACTCTTTCACTGAGGACCATACAACTGCCAACAGTCAGAGCAGGACTTGCAGTTTGGACTTTTGTATATAAAGATGGCAGCTTCCCAGTATTCTATGCAGTCTTCTCGGAAGAGAAGGGCTGGCAGGGAGCAGTCCCAGACCTGATGCAGAAATGAGGGTCCTCATGTACTGGGCATGCCTGGTGCTTGACATGGTCCTTGAGTCTGTCAGAAACAGAGGATGGGGTGGAATAGAGGGAGGGTGAGAATGTAGCTATACGTGCATGAAAGAGACAGAGAGACACTGCATAGGCATAGAGACAGACAAGGAGAAAAAGGGACAGACCAGGACATAGAGAAAAAAGAGGAAGAGAGCACAGGGACAAAGCCAAGACAGACGTGCACCCCATGTACAAAGAGCCAGGGATGAGGTGGGATCTGCCCCCACACTGAGGCCCTTCTGTATCCTCACTGCCCCTGTTTTTCTTCTTTCTAACTCTGCCTTCCTGCACCTTCAAGCTGAAATGCCCTGCTCTCTTCTTTCACACCTTCCTGTCCTCTTGGCCACAGTGTGTTGCAGCTCATCTGCAAGCTCCTTGGCACTGGGAAAAGTGAGTGTGTGTGCAGGAAAAGCTGGGAGATAAGGCTGCCAGTGGTGGATCTGTGGAAAGCCTCCCTCAGTGCCCCAGTGCCTGCCCTGGAGAGCACGGGCCTTTTGCTTCCTGGCAGAGAAGTTTACGACAGCCTTTCCCCTGAAACCAGAGAGCCACTTGAGGAGGAACAAGGAGGAAGGAACTCTCACTAGCTGCTCACACCTCTCCTGCTGTCAGTAAATCACATGCTTGCATGCGTGCAGAAACACATACTCTCCATGCAAGAGGGAACAACAAAAACAAAAGTACACAGCGGGACTCCTTCCAGGAATGTTATGCACACTCACAGACAGGCCCATAATACAGCAGGCACCGCCTTTTACATACTTCCTGGTGATCAAAGCAGTTGTCAGGGAATGACAGGACTGGTATAGCAGGGTGTATGATAGGGAGGAAAGTTTCAAGTAGGCAGTACCCTGTTCACCCCTGTCATGTACCCACTGACCTGTAAAAATAAAATCTCTAATCATATCCATGCTATTTTGAGGGAGGAGCCTCTCGGTTTCTTGGCACGAAAAGAAGCCACCACCTACATACACCTACTTAACTTCTACTTTAAAGGTTGGGAGACTGAGGTCCAGATCACTCACCTGACTGTAAGGGGAGCCTGCCTCCAGGAAGGGCAAAGAAAGTGAACCAAGGGAGACCAAAGAGAAGAAGCTAGTTGTGCAGGGTTGCAAGGGCAGGCAAGACCAGGTTGTTGGAGGGCAGACTGCTGGGGCAGGGAACAAATCCCTCAGGTTTTGAAGGGGTTTTTCTTTAGGAGATATGGTAGGAGAGGAGTAACCATCAGCATAAATGAAAGCTATTTGCTTAGGCAAGGGAGAGGAGAAATTTGTTCTGGTAATACCTGAAGGTGACCAGCTTAGCAGGACAACCTGTCTGACAGGGGAGGGTCCTGAGTCTGGTGTTGTTTTTATTTAATTTTTTAACAGCAATAAGGATGGAATCCAGGACCTGGCACATATTAGTCAGTATCTCTACTGCTGAGCTACATCTCCAATCTTTTATTTTACTTTGAGAGGATTTCTTGCTAAATTCCCAGGCTGGAATAGAACTGACGACCCTTCTGCCTCAGCCTCTAGAGCAGCCAAGACCACAGCACAGTTTTCCCTTTATTGCAGTTACTACACTGAGTGTCAGCTACTGAGTACAAGGAGAGTGAAGGAGGCTGTGCTGCTCCTGGGACCTTTAGTCCAGCCATGGTTGTTCCATGTAGTGTTGTCCCTGCAGAGGCTCAGCCCTGAGGTCCAGGCCCAGGAAGACTAGTGTAGGCAGGGGGAGCCTCTGTGGAAAAATGTTGGGGCCCTGCCTCCTCCTGGAGCTGGCTGGGGTGAGAGAAACAGACAGCCATGCCTGATTTGAGCCCCTGTGCCTCAGAGTGCTGTGTGCAAGGTTCAGTGTCCTGCTACTTCCAACTTGAAATTCTAAATAAATTTGAGCAGGGGGCCTGCATTTGTGCTTTGCACTGAGCGCTCCAACTGGCAGGGGCCCTGCTTGCTCAGCAGCTTCCACTCTGGGACTTTGACTCCCCATCTCCTGCACTAGAGGGGGACCAGTGTGGTCTCGGGCACAGCTGGTTTCTGGGTGTCCCCTCTGCAAGGACCAACGAGGCTAAGGACTGAAACAAGGGTTTATCCAGTGTCTTCAAGACAAGGATGAACTCTGGAATCTAGCACTGACCACTCTGGGCTGGTCAGGGACACAGGGTTCACTGGGACTGGGGGCTTGAGTTAGAGCAGGGCAGACCCCTCACCCAGCAGGTCTCTCCTGGGGCCATCGTCAGAGATGCAAATCTGCTTCCTCACCTAGAAAACTTCTTGCTTTCCATTGGGACCATCAGAAGGGGGGACTGGAGGACATCAGGGTAGCACTCATCAGTCATCTCCCTGTTCTGCAGCTCCCCTTGACCCTCAAGCTGCAAGACACTGTGTTAGCTTTTCAGCCACCTTTTACTTTATGAATGGAGCATTTTTTTTAACTCTCTCTCCCATCAGAGTCACAAGACCAGCAGGCTGGCCTTGCATGGAAGAAATTAACATGACAGGAATCACAGGAAAGTTCAGGGAATCCCTGTGACCAGTCTATGTCCAAATCTCACATCAGTCCCTATAGCCCTACAAACAACTCAAGAGTCATAAAGCCGGTTTGTTTGGGCACATCTTGTGGAAGTCGTGACCCTCTTAGTCAGATAATTCCTTTGGACCCCTTTCTCATGGCCTGTCTGTGACAGTTTGTACCTGAATCCTATTCACCTTCCTCCAGGACATTGGAGTCTCCACTGCTTCGGGGAGCCAACGAAAATAACCTGTGTACACTTAAGAGACTTCTGCTGGGCCAAAGCTGTGACTTTCGACAAAGAGGTGAGATCAGAGTGTAATGGGATACAGGTGGGGCAGAAGGATGTATATGGGACTAAGGACTACATGGGATTTTGAAACGGACCTTTTGAGTTATCTCTGGAGCCAGGCACTCCTTCCCTGAGGGACTGTGGAAAGTGCCTGGCATCCTTGTCCTACTCCACCTCAGGAACTCTGGGAGAGACAGCACTGCACATAGCCGCCGCCCTCTACGACAACCTGGAGGCTGCCATGCTGCTGATGGAGGCTGCTCCTGACCTGGTCATGGAGCCCACTCTGTGTGAGCCTTATGTAGGTGAGGTTGCTGCAGTTTAACTCTCAATGGGTATGGGAAGAACTGCTGTCACTTTTTCACCTGGGCCTGGGAAGGGTGGCCCTGGGGAAATGATAGAGAGTCAGGAGAAAGCGCTTTTATTACATATCTATGAGAAATGCAGTAGCCTGGTCTGCACATTAAATATCCCTGATCTCCTTGAGCTATTTGTATTTCCTTCCAACCTTCACATGGTCCCTTAGGATGTATCTCTAGGTCCTCATGACAGCAAGAACCCTTGGTACCCACTAGTGGAGGGGTAGGGACAATGAGCTGGGCAGGGAACAGTGGTTCTCAGTCCTTGATCACTCTGCAGAACCCTGGGCTCTGTGTGAAGACCTGTCAAAGAACTCCTTCAAGAGTATCAGGGTGTGGGGTTGTTATGTCCCTTCCAGAAGCGGGCAGGTGACAGACCAGGGGCTGACAGCTCTCTCTGTCCAGGTCAGACTGCCCTGCACATCGCTGTCATGAACCAGAACGTGAACCTGGTACGAGCCCTCCTCTCCCATGGTGCCAGTGAGTCTGCCAGGGCTACAGGCCTTGTCTTTGAACACAGTCCCCACAACCTGATCTACTATGGTGAGTGCCAGGGCCAGGTTGGCAAAAAGAGGAAGGGGACAACAGGGTGACATAGCGGGTGGCTAAGGTGTGCTCTCTTCTTGTAGAATTGAAGGCCAAAGACCACACACCCCCAAGCTCTGCACTGACCTTTCCTCTGGTTCTGCTGAACAAGGGTCCCCACCCCAGCCTG